TTGGACTTGCTCTAAGTATTCGAACCACTCCCAAGGGGACGGGCGCCTTTTTGGGAATTCAAGAGTCGTCTGTGCTAATTGTTCTACTTATCATCAGTCTTCTAACTATAATTGTTATTCCCAAAGGGACGGGGGCCTTTGGGGAATTGAAGATTGGTTTTTGCAAATTATACTACTTAGCATACCTCTTCTAACTAGTTTTCTCATGAGTTCCAACGGGACGGGTGCCTTCTGGGGAACTCAAGAGTCCTGATTGCTAATTGTTCTACTTATCATCAGTCTCTAAGTGCATTTGTTTTCCCAAAGGGACGGGTGCCTCTCGGGATGGAATATTCATGTTTGCTAACTACTCTGCTTATCATAACTCTTCTAGTTCTTCTCCCAAGGGACGGGTCACTCTTGGGGAAGTCCAAATTAATTGTTGTTCTAAACATTGTGTGTCTTATACTTGTTCTCAGTGTTCGAACCACTGCCAAAGGGGCGGGTGCCTTTTTGGGAATTCAAGAGTCCTGTTTGCTAATTATCATCAGTCTTCTAATCATAATTGTTATTCCCAAATTATACTACTTAGCACACCTCTTCTAAGTATTCTCTCATGAGTTCCAAAGGGATGACTTGGGGGAATTCAATATTCATGTTTGCTGGTTGTTTTGTAAATTATTCTACTTATCATAACTCTTCTAATTCGTTCTTATCATTCTTCCCAAAGGGACGGGTGTCTTTTGGGAAGTCAATTTTCTAATCATTTTATTTCTTAGACTTGCTCTAAGTATTCCAACCACTGCCAAAGAGGCGGGTGGCTTGTTGGGAATTCAAGAGTCCTCTGTGCTAATTGTTCTACTTATCATCAGTCTTCTAAATATAATTGTTTTTCCTGAAGGGGCGGGTGCCTTTGTGGAATTGAAGATGGCTGTTGTGCAAATTATACTACTTAGCATACCTCTTCTAATTAGGTTTCTCTTTATTTTGAAATGGACGGGTGACTGTTGGTGGAATTCCAAATTTATGTTTGCGCTAATCATTGTGCGTCTTATAATTGCTCTAAGTATTCGATCCACCCCCAAAGGGACGGGTGCCGTTTGGGGAATTCAAAAGTCCTGTGTGCTAAGTATTCTACTTGCAAACCGTCCTCTAAATACAAATGCTAGTCTCAAAGGGACGGGTGCGTTTGGGGAATTAAAGATTGATTTTGCAAATAATAATACTTCTCATAACTCTTCCAATTAATTCTTCTCATTACTCCCAACGGTGCCTCTTGGGGACTTCCAGATTGATGCTTGTTCTCATCATTCTATGTCTTTTCATTGCTCTAAGTATTCGAACCACTCCCAAAGGGACAGGCGTCTTTTGGGGAATTGAAGAGACCTGTTTGCTAAACAGTCTACGTATCATCAGTCTTCTAAATATAATTGTTATTCCCAAAGGGACGGGTGCCTTTGGGGAATTGAAGATTGTGTTGCGCAAATTATTCTACTTATTCCGAACTCGTCTAGTTAATTATTCTCATTATTCCCAAAGGGGCGGGTGCTTTTGGGGACTTGCAGATTCATGTTTGCTCTAATCATTCTAAGTCTTTTAATTGCTCTAAGTATGCGGACCACTCCCAAAGGGACGGGTGCTTTTTTTGGAATTCCAGGCCAGTCTTTCACCAAGGGACGGGAGCAGTTGGCGAATTCCAGAATCATGTGTTTTCTATTCATCCTTCGTCTTCTTCCCAAAGGGACGGTTGCCTTTTGTGGAGTTTCAGATTCAAATTTGCTCTAGTTATTCTACTTTTTACAACAAGAATCATTCTCTAACTTGTTCCAAAGAGGGGTACCTTTTTGGGAAATCCAGCATACATATTTGATAAAGTTATTCGAATCATTCAAACAACTCGAACAATTCTAATGGTTCTGGATACTTTCAATTGGCCGGGTGCCATTTGGGGAAGTCCAGATTCATGTTGCGCTAATCATTCTACTTCCCTAGTTATTCAAAATTATTGATTTCTTCTTAAAGAAAGGGTGCCTTTTGGGGAAACCAGATTCATGCTTCTTGTAACTTGTTTTTGTGGATTTCCAGGCTCTTCTGTTCTGATTTCTAAGTGTTCCCAACGGCACGGGTCCCTTCTGGGGAATTTCAGATTAATGGTTGCTCCCATGATCCCAATTATGTTCTTCTATGTATTCCCAAAGGGACGGGTGACGCGCGCCTTTTGAGGAATTCCAATTCCAGAGTCATGTGTGTGTTCCAATTATTCCTATCTACTCAAATTATTCTAACTATTCTTAAAGGATCGTGTACTTCTTGAGGAATTCAAGATCTTATACTTATTATACGTGTTTTGCTTTTGCTTTTTCAAAGTACTCAAATTCTTCCAAGGTGAATTCCAATAACTCCAAAAATTGCAATAGTTGGGGGTCCCGGATTTTGCAATTAATTATTGCAATTATTGGAAGTCAGTTGCAATTGTTGCAAATATTGGAATTAGTTGGCCTGGATTGGGGCCAAATCTGGGATCAATTCATATCTACAATGGAAGTATTGGAATTCAACTCCAATGATTGCAATAATTGTAATATTTGAAGGTCCCGGATTTTGGAATTATTGCAAATAGTGGAATTGAATTCCAATAATTGCAATAATTGAAATATTCGGAGGTCCCGGATTTTGCAATTATTGCAATTATTGGAATTGAATTCCAATAATTGCAATAATTGCAATAATTTCAGGTCCCAGATTTTGCAATTATTGCAATTATTGGAATTCAATTCCAATAATTGCAATATTTGCAATATTTGGAGGTCCCGGATTTTGCAATTATTGGAATTAGTCGGCCCGGCTTTGAGGCCAAATCTGGGATCAATTAATTATTGCAATTATTGCAATTATTGCAATTATTGCAATTATTGGAATTGAATTCCAATAATTGCAATAATTGCAATATTTGGATGTCCCGGATTTTGCAATTATTGGAATTGAATTCCAATAATTGCAATAATTGCAATATTTTCAGGTCCCGGATTTTGCAACTATTGCAATTGTTGGAATTGAATTCCAATAATTGCAATAATTGCAATATTTGGAGGTCCCGGCTTTTGCAATTATTGCAATTATTGGAATTGAATTCCAATAATTGCAATAATTGCAATATTCGGAGGTCCCGGATTTTGCAATTATTGCAATTATTGGAATTCAATTCCAATAATTACAATCAATAATTTCAGGTCCCAGATTTTGCAATTATTGCATTTATTGGAATTCACTTCCAATAATTGCAATAATTGCAATATTTTCAGGTCCCGGATTTTGCAATTATTGCAATTATTGGAATTGAATTCCAATAATTGCAATAATTGCAATATTTTCAGGTCCCGGATTTTGCAACTATTGGAATTAGTCGGACCGGCTTTGAGGCCAAATCTGGGATCAATTAATTATTGCAATTATTGCAATTATTGCAATTATTGCAATTATTTCAATTATTGCAATTATTGGAATTGAATTCCAATAATTGCAATAATTGCAATAATTGGAGGTCCCGGATTTTGCAATTATTGCAATTATTGGAATTCAATTCCAATAATTACAATCAATAATTTCAGGTCCCAGATTTTGCAATTATTGCATTTATTGGAATTCACTTCCAATAATTGCAATAATTGCAATATTTTCAGATCCCGGATTTTGCAATTATTGCAATTATTGGAATTGAATTCCAATAATTGCAATAATTGCAATATTTTCAGGTCCCGGATTTTGCAACTATTGGAATTAGTCGGACCGGCTTTGAGGCCAAATCTGGGATCAATTAATTATTGCAAATATTGCAATTATTGCAATTATTGCAATTATTGGAATTGAATTCCAATAATTGCAATAATTGCAAAATCCGGGACCTGAAATTTTTGCAATTATTGCAATTATTGGAATTGAATTCCAATAATTGCATTAATTGCAAAATCCGGGACCTGAAATTATTGCAATTATTGCAATTATTGGAATTCAATTCCAATAATTGCAATAATTGCAAAATCCGGGATTGCAATTATTGCAATTATTGGAATTGAATTCCAATAATTGCAATAATTGCAAAATCCGGGACCTGAAATTATTGCAATTATTGCAATTATTGGAATTGAATTCCAATAATTGCAATAATTGCAATAATTGCAATAATTGCAATAATTAATTGATCCCAGATTTGGCCTCAAAGCCGAACCAAATAATTCCAATAATTGCAATAATTGCAAAATCCGGGACCTGAAATGATTGCAATTATTGCAATTATTGGAATTGAATTCCAATAATTGCAATAATTGCAAAATCCGGGACCTGAAATTATTGCAATTATTGCAATTATTGGAATTCAATTCCAATAATTGCAATAATTGCAAAATCCGGGACCTGAAATTATTGCAATTATTGCAATTATTGGAATTCAATTCCAATAATTGCAAGAATTGCAAAATCCGGGACCTGAAATTATTGCAATTATTGCAATTATTGGAATTGAATTCCAATAATTGCAATAATTGCAAAGTCCGGGACCTCCGAATATTGCAATTATTGCAATTATTGGAATTCAATTCCAATAATTGCAATAATTGCAATAATTGCAATAATTAATTGATCCCAGATTTGGCCTCAAAGCCGGGCCGAATAATTCCAATAATTGCAATAATTGCAAAATCCGAGACCTCCAATTCTTGCAATTCTTGCAATTATTGGAATTCAATTCCAAGAATTGCAATAATTGCAAAATCCGGGACCTCCGAATATTGCAATTATTGTAATTATGAATTCCAATAATTGCAATAATTGCAAAATCCAGGACCTGAAATTATTGCAATTATTGTAATTATTGGAATTCAATTCCAATAATTGCAATAATTGCAAAATCATTATAAATTCACTTCAACAATTCACTCAAAGCTGGAGCCAGCCTGAACGACACATAGGGTATGATCTTCCCTCTTACGGGGGGGGGGGGTTGGCTCTTGTTGTGTGTCCCTTAGGTACGAGTTCAGTGGGCAAGGCATCTGCCTGAGCCGGGGGCCCAGTGCCCGGACCGCCAGGCGGACGTTGTCAACTACCTGGAACCCGGGGGTGCGCTGAGCGTTTGTTGCGGGTACACCTTTGAAAAACATAGAAAATAATAGTAAACAAATAAATAACATAAAATGAACAAATGTATATATATATATATATATATACATATATTTGTATATATACATATGTATATATATATATACATATATACATATATCTATATATAACATATTTCATGGCGGTTACCTCTTTCTGACATCAACACATGGTGGTCAAAAGGCACACAGCCCGCAGAAGAAACTTTGAGACCCCTAAAACATGTGCATTTCAACGGGAGCAATTGATCCTGGAACCACATGCCTATGAGTTTTGCGAGCGAAGCACCTCAAAAGCGGCTGGACAGACTATGTCCACAAAAGGATCCCGGGAAAATCCAAGAAAATCCCGGAGGAAGCCAAGGAGAAGCCCTCCAGAAGGCCAAGGGCTTAGGTGAAGGACAGCTGCCCCAAGAAGGTCAGAAGGTTCGCAGAAGGTTAGCTATTTCAGCAAAAACAAAACAGCCCTCCAGAAGGCCCCCAATGAATCAAGGATAGCTCCCCCTGAGTCCCACAGCCTCCCCCAGAAACGGTTGGCGTTGCTTCAGGCAGGGGCCCCGCCAGCCACGAGCGCTTCACCCGGGGCCATGAGCTGATCGAGCTCGGGGGCACTGTACGAAGTCCCAAGGAGAACCCAGCCGTTCCGGGCTTTTTCTGGGGGCCCAGCTTGCGTTAGTGCACCTTTCATAAAAAGGCCCACAAGCTCAGGGCAGGTCGAGGTCTGGGTGTCACAAGGCCTCCAAACGCACTTTGCAGCAGCTTGAACACACCTGCGGCACGGCCTGAGCCAACTGCTTGCCAAGTCATGTGGGCGCTGGCCAAACGGAAGAAACCATGCCAGGGCTTAGCCAAGGGAATGGTGCTCAAAGACTTCTCGCGGAAAGCCAAGGAGAAGCATGGAGGGAAAACCAATGGACCAATGGAAAACCGGAAACCAAGGGAAACCCGAAGGGAGAACCAAAGGGGAAGCCAATGGGCGAAAATGAATCGAGAAGGAACACAAGGGAAAACTAAAGGGAAAACCAATGGACAAGTAAGGGAAAACAAGGGACAATGTAAAGCCAAAGTGAACACTGAGGGATAACGAATGGAACACCAATCAACAATTACCAAAACCAATGGGAAAACTGGGGAAGGCCAAGGGAAATTCAGCTTGAGCAAAGTTATTTGTGAGAATCGGAAGCTTGCAACCCCCCAAGTCGTGAGCCATCCAAAGGAGCTCCAAAAGCTTTGCGCTGTATCAACCCAACCAATGCACAGCGAGTACAGTGAGTTCAGCCATCTTGCCAATGAACAGATGCACTCAGGAAGCTGGGTGAGCTAGAAAATGTTTCGTTTTGTTAAGGGAGCCAGCCCCAGCACCTGACGTGAGTGCCCACTTGGTGGGAGGGTGGCCCAGGCACAGACCTCGTTCAGCAGTTGCTTGCAAGCAAAGCGGCCAGAAAAGCATCAAACTTCGAGGAAGGTTGAACCGTGCAGGAGAGAGAAATCTTGGGGAGAGCTGGCGATGTTCTTTTTTGAGAAGCTGGAGTGCAACGACAGAACGACCCCCCGAACAGTTGCCTGGCGCAATGTGGCGTTGCGCAGAACTGCCCGCCCTGCCGCTGATCCGCCCCCAAATGCCACTACACCAGCCAGGCGTGGCAGTAGAGTGCGGGAAAAAAGGCAAGCGCAGCCGCGGAAGCATCCGCGCCGGGGCCTTCCCGTCTTCGCAGTCTCCGGAGCGCAGTCTCGTCTTCCTCCAGCCTCGCCTGTGCCGGGCCTCACGACCCGGCACGGAAGACTCCGGGACGGTGCTGGGACCCGCGAGACGAGGGCGAGACTTTTTAGAGGAAGAGTGCGGCGTCACGCAAGTCCAAAGTCCAGAAAAACTGGGAGCAGACGGCGGCTCGAAGTGGATTTTTTGTTTTTCATCGACAAGTTGTTTGTTGGTTTGCTTTGGCACAAGCCAAGAGGTATAGGTTGTTTTTTGGTTTCGCCCCATACAGATTCGGCCGCAGGGGTTTTGTGTTGCCTGACTAATTGGGCTGCCCTCCCACAATCCAGCACACGGGGCCATGACCCTCGTTGCTTTGTGCTTTGGTGTGTAGGCGTCTTCTTCGGCGCGTAGCACAAACAAATTCACAATGGAGCAAACGACCCAGGGTGGACTCGAACCACCATCATCGCTGCGGCACCTCACCCAATGAAGGGCAAGGTGCCAGCTGCTGCTGGATGAGCAGAAGCAACGCCTTGCCCATTAGGCCACTGGGTCAGATGCGTCTCTCTTGATTTACTTTTAATAAAGTCATATTTGGAAGGTGCTGTGACGAAAAGATGGGATGTAGGAGACATTGAATGGAAGATAGAGTTCGGTGGCACGGGAGGATCCCTCCGCAAAGTGTTTCTCATACCCTCCCACTAATCAATTTACAATTTGACCCATTTGTGTCAGACCCCCTGCACCCGGATGGTAGAGGGAAATTAAGGGTCGGTTTCCCCACAATCGAACTGGGGCAGGGAGGTCCTCTTTCCTCAAAAACAAAGCCAGCAGGTTGCGATTTTTGTACATGCAGAGGATGCAGAGGGTTCCGCTTGTACCCCTCTCCTTGCCATTCAACCTAAGGGGAAGTCCAGCGGCGGACACTCGCCATTTCTGGTTTTCCGCGGACCCGTGTACTGATTCAACGACCAAAAGCGGAGGATGGAAAAAGACTGGGTCCCCGTTTTTGTTGACTCATGTGATTTCTTGCTGAGAAGGGCGGGCTTCTTGTGTGTGTGTGTGTGTGTGTGTTGGTATTTGTTTGAGTTCTGTGTTGTTTTCTCAGCATTCTTGGTCGTTACCATGTTTGAGCGCCTCTGTTCTTTTCTTGAATGGGCTCTACCGTATGTTGGTCTTAAGGTTCCCCTTGTTGGTTGCTTCTTGCAGGATTTTTTGTTGTAGCCGGGATGCCGTTGGCGAATCTTGGAGTTGTCCTTCGTCGAAAGGGGATCTAGGATCAAGCCATGTTCCCTTTCTTGGCTGGGCTGGTTGATTAGCTGGGCTGGCTGGTTGGTTTTAGGTGGTGCTTATAATATGAATAACAAGAAGCAAGGTTTGGGCTCCATGGCATGAAACGTATCCCCTATATAAGATGCATAAACTGTGTATATGTACATACATAGATCCGTTTGCGGGTGGTGTGTTTGGCTCCAATGGATTTCCCTAGGAGATGATGGCCATGCTGACTGCCTACTTTCGGCCGGGCACTTACGACCTCCTGCGGAAGAACTGCAACTCCTTCACCAGCGCCTCGGAGCGTTTGGGCTTCACCGTGGAATTGTTTCTTGTGTTCCCCTCCAAAGTTATCTGTTTTTCTGAGGGTGTCGCGAGCCATGCCACATATCACCAAAATGGTTGCCTCCAACAGCAGAAACAATTGACTCCTAGGTGTGTACCCTAGGTCCCCCAGTAGTGCCCTCGGGCAACATGAACTGGACCCACCCAAACTTGGCGGCTATTGGGTTGGATCTTTAGACTTTAAGGATTTGGGACATCAAGCCATTTCTCCACGTACGCCATAAAAAGTGTGTCTAGGTCCCCCACTAGTGCCCTTTCTCACCCTTTTTGGGGGGAGAGTGGGAACCCTACGAAATAGACTACAGAAAAAACATCGGGTACCATTATTCTAACCTCACTGGAGGACCTAGTCTATTTGTTTTTGTGAGGGTGGTCTAAGTAAGTATGGAGCAGACTCTAGACATGTTATTTCTTGTTCTCTGTTTATCACAGTAGTCGATGGTCCATTTGGGAGGGACTCAAACAATTTCCCACACCATTTGAGACTCACCAAATGGTCCATGTCCTTAGGGTGTTAAGCCATGACAATGACTGACATCGAGAATCGTGGCATCGAGAGTTTGGACCATGGATTCACATTGCCCTGGGCCCGGTTTCCACAGCCGCGGAGATGCGTTGGAAAGGTTTGAGCAGGTCTTAAAAAGTGTTCGCACTTGTTTTGTTCTGGTATTCCCTGGTTCCCATGTCCTCTTGGGCTTCTAGCTGAGGCGAGTCAGACCTGCGTTTTTGCAAGGAAAGACCGGCCGAAGCATATCTCATTTCTTTTCGAGGTCCTTTCAAGACCTTCTCACTTTTTCGCTTCTTCCCAGGGATCGATCCCAATACGGGCAAACGTTGATAGGTGGATCAGGGCATTGATCACCAGAGCTTCTGAAGCCCCAGCCAAACGGCACGCCACGGGCCGTGTCCGGCGGTTCCCTTTTGAAGACCTTACATCTTGAGGCTCGCCACGTGTGGACCATTTCTTTTCATGCGATCTTTGGTTGGGTGGGGGGGGGGGTGGGGCAAAGTTGTTGTTAAATGGAAACCACCACTGGAACCCCAAGGACGAGATCGTCTTGCTCTGGCTTTTCTCGTTTTTCTCGGCACCCAAACAGCCCCAAAAACCCCCGCGCAGTTCTCTCGGAGTCGGATTCGGCCAGGCTGCGCCTTGCACTTCCTCCTGGGCGCCATGTGCCTCGGCCGCAGCGGACGCGGAGCGCGGAGCACGGGGGTCACCCCTTGCACTGGAGACAGTTTTTTGGGCTGGGTAGGTGCGGGCCCCAGCTAGGTCTTCCAGTAGTGCCCTTTCTCACCCTTTTTTGAGGGAGGGTTCCCCTACTAAAATAGACTACAGAAAAAAGAGGTACCCTTATTCTAACCTCTCTACTGAAGGACCTAGCCAAACTCGACAACGGTACAACCCTAGCTCATGGACGGAAATCACTTTGAGCACTCGCCCCTTTTTGGGTTTCAGGTGCTCTTGAGTGTTTCTTTTGGGGGTGCAAAGTTGGCCGATTTTTTCAGGGGCACGAAGGTACAGGGCCTCTCTTGTGAGGTATACCTTCGGCTTATGGTCAACTCCGAAAAGTATCCTCGCAAGGCGCTAAGGAAGATTCATCAAAGTATGCAGGGCACCATAGTTTCGGGCCCCCAGGAGCCGTGAGCACTTGTTTTGCCTGTTTGGGAGAATCCCTCAGGTGAAGTCAGCTAGCACACATTTGCTGTTGGTCGGCTGGCTGAAATCCTCGCGCGTCCAAGGGCAGGTCCTGTTATTCCCACCAATCAGCAAGCAGTACAGTAAAGGCTCGTTTCAAAGGCATCCCCATCAATCAGGTTCCACTACTGGCTGCTCTTTGGACCTTTAAGCTTCGCTCCAATGTGGTGTTTGGAACATATGCTTGAGTGTGTTTCCACTAACCCCTCTTAAATTTCAATGCTTTGGTTCAACATGAGGTTTGTCCTCTAACTTCCAAACCTCGAAGAAGCGGTGGCAGAGTTTGTTGCCTTGAAGCAAGTCCTGTCCCAAGAAGCGATATGCGCAGTAGCCACCCATTTGCCACGTATGGTCCACCAAAAACTCTGACTTGGAGGGGTTTGTTCGCAAGAGTAATGGACTTGTGATGGTTTCCGGACAATGATATTGAGAAAACAGACCTGGAGGTTTGATGGCGCTCATGTCTTTCAAGCCAAAGGACTCTTTTTTTCTCGTTTCTTTTCTTTTTCCGCCGTCGAAAGTTTCCGGTGACAAAAGAGAGCCAGTCCAGGGGGGTACGTTTAGATGTTTGCTTCACGCCTGCCTGAAAGGGTACTTTCTACAAGAACAGAGATGCAGACCTTAGACACACAGACACAGACGCACAGATACGCACGGACACAAACACACACACACACACAGTCACGCTGACACACACACACACACACCCACACACGAGCACAAACACAGACAAACACACACACACAGACAGACACACAACACAGACACACATGAATAATATACATATATAAATACATATATCTTTATAATATACATACACACCATACACAGCAGTCCAACAAATTCGGGCACCGTGGCTATCAAATGGGCACCGTAAAGTGGACGTTGTTTGGGCCATAGCGTTTGCCCTCCATTGGGTACTGCTTGTGACCAGCTTTTTTTTTGGGGGGCATCTTTCTCCCCGCAACATGAAGGGAAGACCTGTCCTCAAAAGCGCGGCTCGCGCCTTTGGTGCGCGGCACGAGGCGTTTGAGCCCTTTTGTTGTGGTGAAGCTATGGCCCACGGGTTGCCTGATTCGTCTAAGCCCTACCTAACATGAAGCCCACCAGAAGGTTTCTTTTTAAGAACAAGTTTTCAGGAAGTTCCACGTTAGGTTCCATGGAAGCAAAACGAGGAAGATGTGTACTGTTTTGCCAGCCCCCCCGGTTGGTCACGTTTTTGGTATGATGTTTGAGGCTAGATCCGAAGTACAGCTCCATGGAGAGTTGCGCGGTGACGGTGAGCAGCTACATAGATTTGGCCTCTCGGAGACGTGTGGTTTGGGGAAGCGGGGCTCAAACAGGGCGGCTGGAAAGTGGACTTGGCGCCAGGTTTAGCAATTGGTGCCCCAGCAATTGGTGCCCTTTCTCACCTACTTTTTTGGGGAGCGTTCCCCTATTTTCTCTAGGGTACCCTTATTCTAGCCTCTCTACTGGAGGACCTTGTTTGGGTTTCAAGGGACACCAAATTGAAGCCAACTTTTTGCTGCTACCGTTTTCTGCAAGTGGAGTGAAGGGGAAGCACAAAGAAGCACAAAGAAGCGCAAAGAAGCAGAGACATATCAGGGCTCAATGCGTGCTTGCAGACACCATGGCGGATGTTGGGGTCCAAAACTTATGAACCGATCAAAGCATGGCATTTGCTTGGCAAGAGATGTGTGGTGCCCTTCTCGCTACACGGGCAAAGATGAGCAAGTTGAGAAGTCTTCTGCACCAAGAAGGTGAGCAAGGCATTGCCTTGTGTAGTGTCGAGTATGAAGCCTGTGCCAAAGTAGAATCTTGACCGCAAGCTGCAACACTGGTACTCATCCAATAGCTACAAGGCTTTCGCAAGCCTACCTGCCGTTGCCATTTGCCCACGTCATTCCTGGTCAATCGCCGCCAGCTGGACGTACCTGCATCAGTGATTCTGAAAGTCTTTTTCGCCCCCTTGGTTGCGGCGCTGTTTGATGCTTTTTGTTCTTTCGGGTAACGTGTTCGCTGCTAGACGGAAGCCAAGTGACTGTGAGCCGAACCTATACCCACTCGAGACTCATCAGTTGTACTCGAGACTCATCGGTTGTACTCGAAGGATTGGCACTCTCCCTTGGGAGTTGAGGTGTGCATGCGGGAGAAGGGAAAATATTTTCAATCTCAGATCTTTGGCCGGGTGGCTATGTAGTTAGGAAGAATGTCTCAAATGAGCCACGGAGCATGATCTTATGCGTTGACAGTCTACCTATTTTCGCCATGAGCACCAATTACGCAAGGCCATGTGTCCTAGCGGACAGCATTCAAACGATATAGAAGTGGCTGAATCCAATCCCACTTCACTGGTAGCTTCGTTGGACACAGCCCCAGTGAAGTCCCCCTGCTGAAGAAAAGAAAAGGTTGGTGGCAGGGTATTCTGCCACTCCGCACACACACACATACACGCACGCGCACGCACACATGCACACGCACACGCACATACACGCGCACGAGCACGCGCAAGCGCACGCGCACACGCAGGCGCGCAGGCGCGCACGCGCGCGCGCACGCGCGCACGCACACGCGCACGCGCACAAACACGCGGATGCACACGCACACCCACACACAGACACACAGACACGCAGCAAGCAGACACGCAGAAACACGCAGACACACATAGAGACACAGAGACACAGAGACACACAGAGACACACATAGACACACAGAGACACACAGAGACACGCAGAGACACGCAGAGACACGCACAGAGACACGCACAGAGACACACACAGAGACACACACACAGAGACACACAGAGACACACACAGAGACACACACACACACAGAGACACACACACAGACACACACGGAGACTCGCAGAGACACACACACACACAGAGACATCATTTTGGGCCAGGTTTGTATTTGTGATTAAGTTTGGGTCATCAGCATGCGAGTGTTTCTCAAGCCGAGGTCAGCTTAATCATGCCCAACTACCAGCCCAACCCCAATGCCGAAGGTTTTTGCCCCTTGGCGATACATGCGCCGGGGGTGCAATAGAGGCCGGCTGTTTCCTGTTGCGCACCCACCGTCGCAGCATTTGGGTATGCCCCTGACCTAGGAACCCCCTTTGGGATGGTTTGGAGGGGCACTGAGTGAAGAGAACTGTTGTCATGAGTCTCTCATTTTAGGGTTGGGCCGTTCACCCCCGTCATTCATCGAAACATGACAACAACCGCAGAATTGCCTTGTTCAAACAACTTAGGTTTGCTTTAATCGGGTTCTTCGAACCAAATTGCACAAGCCTGATTCCTTGCAAAAACTGGCCAGATTAAGACCACAACCGCTCGTGATGAGCCAAGCACAAGACCATTCGACCATTCTCAGAAGGTCGGACACCTGGTAGGAATCGTTAAACTTGTTTGAGACTTGCTGGACAATTCCCTGGGTGCGCCTTGGAAGGGACACCAAAGTGGCACTGGCACTATGGCCCTTTTGAAAGTTGTGTCGCCAAAGGAAAACTTCTCAGCACCCCAAGGGTTGCACCTTAATGAACCCATATGTTGCGACTCCTCGGCTTGTCGTTACACGCAGCGCTTGGCGCAATGTTGTTGCAGGCTTTGCCTTTTGATGCCATGACGGTCAAGGGGAACCCCTGGTGGTAAATGCAGGCAACAAGGGGGAATGTGTCATAGTCGGCATCCTTCACAACAGGCTTGTTTTGATTGCAAAGACTGCAGATAGGAAGCGGCTTCAAGAGGGTGGGTAGCAAAAAGGCCCTGTTGTCATCGGAGTTGACTCACCAGGATCTACTTCACTCGGGATTTTTGTTTGGCGAAAGACATTCCTTTCTTGGGAGGGTGGTCCCGTTTGTTGCTTTCAAAGGCAGCCCCTTCGAGAACCAAGCATTTTTGTGTGTGTGTTTTTTTTTGGGGGGGGTTCGTCCATTTTCTATTCTCAGACCAACCCGTTCGGCCTGGAACTTGGAACGGGGTGGCGAGCCCGCACTGGCTTCAAAGCTGGCAAGCTTCGGCTGGGGAGAGTGGTCACTTTGCATTTGGAACCCCTTCAGACTAATCAGAGGTGGGGGCGCTTTCTCGGTGTAAATAAATCCTTTGAGTAGGGTCTTTATGAAATCCCAAATGACATTATTCAAGTTGCAAGTGAGCGATTAATCGATCATGTGTGTGTGTGTGTTTGCAAAGCAAGTAAGGGTTTTGTCGGAAATTGCGCTAAATCACACCCGATGAACATGTTCACTAAAGAACATCCTGAAGAGCCATTTGGATCCTTAGGCCCAAACTTGACTCTTGTCTCTTGGCCAACAAATCTTGGCACGCATTCACCCATCAGGGGTCAACATCTAAGATTCACGTCTTTATTGTGCGGAAGATCATGTTGCTTTGCCGATCATTGCGTGAGATCGACTGCCATTTTGTGACGAGATGCCAGTCTCTCAAGGCGTCGAGCACGTCCGCAGAGATATCAACTACCACGAGCAGAAGGCTGCACAAGGACGGAGCGGTATGTGTCAAACTTGCCAACAAGCAAGCTGTGTTGTGCGTTTGGATTCCCATTCAGCCAACCTGAAATCGTATCCTCAGGCCCTCAGGCAGTCCCGGATTTGGGAGCAATCCCGGGAAACGCATCTACGGATGTTGTCAAAGTCCTGAAGAACCTAGCGCTCGGCCAACTGAACAACAATGACGCCTCATCGTTTTCCATCTTTCACCGACAAAGGCCTCCGAAAAAGCACGCTGCGTCGCCAGCATCACAAGCGAAACGCGCGGCCCTTCCGCCCTTGAGTCTCTCATTTTAGGAAGCACCGGCTTTTTGCAGGGTTGGGCCGTTCACCCGGTCATTCATCTCAACATGACAACCGCAGAATTGCCTTGTTCAAGCAACTTAGGCTTCCTTTGGTCGGGTTCTTCGAACCAGCAGCCAGTGAGACGCAGGAAGGGCTCGGGGAGGGCAAAGCCGTGCGCGGGCGGTCGAGAAACACGTACCCTCTTTCCACCAATGGGAGTGGACGGGGTTCCGCAAAAGGAAAGTAGTCTTCCCAACCCCCGTCAGCCATGATAGCTGTGAGGGTCCCCATGCTTCACCGGTGATCTTGCTGGAGATCAAGAAAAGCTATGAAGAGTCTTCACCGGTATCCTTGGCGAGCGCTGAGGTTTTTGAGACAGAACCATTCAGGCAGGCCCTTGCGCTCGACACTTATTGTTATAATGATTGTTATTATGGTTGTTATTATTATTGTCATGACTAATATCATTGTTTTTGTTATCGTTATTATTGCAATTATTATTATTATGATTATTAGTCTTACTATCATTGGCACTGTTATTATTATTATTACTAGAATTGATATTGTTATTGTTATTATCATGATTATTATTATGGTTGTTTTATTATTATTATTATTATTATTATTATCATTATTATTAGCACTATTATTATTATTAGCACTATTATTATTATCATTATTATTAATAAAATTGTTGTTGTTATTATTAATATATTTTTTAATTATTGTGTGCTTCACATATTTTCGCTCCAGGGCAAGCGCCAGAAAGGTCTAAACTGCGCATATGCTGGCAGACGGTCCAAACAAACGTGACGGGCTGCTGCCAGATGTGACGTGCCAACTCTCATTTTCCCACTTGTTTGGGAGAAACGTGAATCAAACCTGCGGATTCTTAAGGGTTCCTTGTAAGAAAAACGATGACCATGCCCCACAGAAGGCATTGTTGACCATGACTCATGTGCAGGGGGTCTGGAAGACCATTTCCCTCTAGCCTTTGGTGCGCTCCATGTGTTCGCACCGAAGCTCTTGTCAAAGAACAAAAACAGCTCGGAGCCTTTTGAGCCAGGAGCAAAGGCGAAAGCACCCTCCCGCGCCTGGATTCTGGTGGTTGGTTTGCGGAGGCGAAGCGACGAATCAAACTGGTGGGCATGTGCGCTTCTTTTGCTTGGTTGGCTTGGCTTGTCTTGGCTTGGCTTGGCTTGGTTTGGCTTCGTTGGTTTGGTGACCCAAAGATCGATAAAGAAGGAGTTCCAGGCCAGTCTCCGCATCTTCGACCAAGAGCAAGAACTGGGAAGATACCGGGAAGACCGCTTCTCTCGAAGTCGGGTGTCCGTTTTTTTGGTTGACCCATGTGGACTTTCTAAGGGAGCCTCAAGCCTCGAACCCAGTGGTCAATGGCCAAGAAGAGTTTTGCCGATTTTCAAGAAATAGGTCTTGGTCGGGCAGGGTTGGATCCCATTGGGCTCGGCAAAAATTTCATTAAGATACAAAAAATATCCCACTCAGAGAACTGCTAAAGCTTGGGCCCCCAAGGCAAGACAGACCGGAAGTGGAACATTGCACGTGTACAGCTATTTTTTGTGCTTGAAGCGGCAGAAATAAGTAAGTATACATATTTACATATATACACAAGAACACACATACATAGTAACATATAGACTTTGAAGGAACCCCGCGAAAACTGTCTTGTCCAATCGTTCAAATGTAAACATCGGGAATTGAGGGGACAGCTCAGAATGCTTGTGATGTGGCCAAGCAATGCAAAGCCTTTTGACTGTCCAATCGAAAGCGGGTACAACGAGCTCATGATGATGCTCCTTAACAGGGGGGTGTTTTGTTTGCGGTTTTGGAATTACGCAAATTTGGTTACAATCATGGACGCCTGTTCAACTTGACTGTAGTGAATTTACACACATGGAAGTCAGCTTCTCTTGTTGGAGTCCATTGGTTTCGCCAAGGTTTGATTTTCCGGGGCCGCGAAAAGTTTTTCAGGCCCTGGGGGGTTGCCGAAAAGAAGGGTAACGGCAAGCGACTTTGAGAATGGGACTTCCGATTTGGCTGGTCGTTTATGGATCGAAACGCAAGGACTTGAACAGAACTTGGTGGTTGAAATGGATAAGGGAATTTTACCAACTCGAAATGCAGGATTCACTCCACTAAATGCAGGACTCGAATCTCAAAGAGTGGTTGTGATTCCCGCTTGCGAGTGCCTACTATATAGTGGATTGTGGCTTTCCCGTTTACCTAGCGGTGGAATCCCAGCCCCCTTAAAGATGGAGTTGGGGGGGGGCTGAAATTCTAGCAAAGTGGACTTGGGACCCCGTACCTCCCCCTTAACTGGTCTTCTCCAAAACTATTATATCACTATATGATATGTATGTCAAAACAAATCTATGCAACACACATGCATGCATGCATCCATGCATACGTACAGACAGACAGACAGCCAGACATAGATACATGCACACATGCACACATGCGCACATGCACACCTGCACACCTGCACGCATGCCGACGGAACCACGTGAACTGACTCCGATGTCAACCCTACGCACTGGATTGACCTGATCTGCGTGGGCATCAGCTTCAAAGAGTTAAGAACAAGTAGAAGGATGCCATCACTCATTGGTCCTTCCTGAGCCGTTTGGCAAGCAGACACTGTCCAAGGACACGAAGCTGCAGGACTGGTCTTGCGTGAGGAGGCCACGGCGTTTAGCTCACCATTTTGAATTGCACGTCCTCTTTCCGCAAAGGTGCAAGCCAGCGTTTGTCAAGTCTGTGGCGCACGGAGAGGGTTTCAAGCCCAAGTGCATGGACAGTACTGCCTCGAAAACATGGGGCGCCGGCAGTTACGGTGCGTCCAGTTGACAGCCCACATCCGCGGCGGAAAGAATCAGGCTGCCTTTGCGCAACAAGAGCTCCCCTATCCATGGCTGGCCGCAAGGTCTTGTTGATCAGGCCACTTAGGGCGAGGACATGGCGAGGCAAGAGACTACTAATGCCAGCTTGCCTGTAAGCACACCACTGGGGTCTTCAAACTTGATGTTGACCTGGGCGCTGGATATCCCACTTCACTGGTAGCTTCGTTGGACACAGCCCCAGTGAAGTGCTGTGTCCCCCTGCTGAAGAAAAACAGTATTCTGCCACTCCGCACACACACGCCCCTCCAGGAGGGGCGAACAATACCTTTTGCATCCGGAAGACCAAGTCAGCAACCTCCTAAAGTCAACCAAAAACCCTTTTTCAGGGGGGAAGCAGAAGCGCCCGAAAGATGGACGAAGACCCCAACAGAAAACAAACGGAGCAAGAACCCAAAAGAAACAGAAAGCCCCACGTTGGGTCTCCGCGGGCAAAACCCCAACCAAGAAACACGACAAGCAGGGGAACCCAAGTTTTAGGGTCACCGCCAAGGGCAAAAAACCCAAACAGCCCAGAAACCCTCCTAAACCTGGAAGACGACCACCGCCGCAAAGTTGAAGACCGAAAAGAGGACCAGGCCATCCCTAAACGGGCCAAGAGGAACAACAGGAAGTAGTTGGAAAAAAGGGGGGGGGGGAAACGAAAGAAAGGAAGAGAGAAAGAGAGAAAGAAAGAGAGAGAGAGAGAGAGAGAGAGAGAGAGAGAAAGAGAGAGAGAAGGAGAGAGAGAGAGAGAGAGAGAGAGAGAGAGAGAGAAAGGGAAAAGGAAGACAAAGGGGAACAAGATGCGTATTTAGGGCGCCGCAGCCCGCCCGGGGAAAGGAGAAAAGGAAGAAAAGAAAGGAAGGAGAAGCAGAAGACCAGGAAACAAAAGGAGGAAAGAGAGAAGAAGGAGGAAGGGAGAGGGGGGGGGGAAGGGCGGGAAAAAGGAAAGAGAGGTTGTAGTAAGCGTTTTTAGGGCGTCGCGTCCCGCCCGGGTAAGCACAGAGGATGAAGACGGAGGCTCGAAGAGGAGGGCGTCGAATCCCGCAACGGGGCCAAGAGGACGAACGCGAAATAGCAACGGAAGGGGAAGAAGACGGCAAGCCAAACTGCGCGAGGAAAACGAGGAGTAGGAACAGGTAGACAGACAAGAAGACCACGGAGAGGAAAAAGGTGAACGTCGCGAGGACAAGCAGGCCATCCCTAAGCGGGCGAAGAGAAGGAAGACAAACACACGGGTCACGGAAACCAGAAAGTAGAGACCGGGAGGAAGAAGAAGCCTAAACGGGCGATGGGCCAGACGACGGACACGCGGACAACGAAGGCAAGGAGAGAGGGTGAGACGTAGCTATGAAGAGGTGGCTGTCTTCCCTTTAGTGAAACCTCGTTCCTGCTTAAACGTGAAGTTCCGCTGGACTATGATAAGAACGTTGAGGTCAAATTTTCCGGCGAACCGGCCGGGGTCACACGATGGGTAAATTCGAGGTTCCCCCAACATGGGGTGATCACACTTCAACTCTTCGAGTACAACCGATGAGTCTCGAGTACAACTGATGAGTCTCGAGTGGGTATAGGTTCGGCTCACAGTCACTTGGCTTCCGTCTAGCAGCGAACACGCAGTGGCCCACATGAATCAGCGGGGGCAGGCGCAGGGCAAATGGTGCGATTGACCTTCCTCAAGATTGCGCAGCACAGCCGCAAGCTGAAGGTGAAGGCTGGCGCCCAGCGGCCCAATATGAGCATTGGTACTGAGGTCAGGACACGCGGATGAGATCTGGATTCGAGCCAAAGAACGCAGACATCAGGGGGGAGCGGTAGCAAATATGTTAAATATATATATATATATATATATATATATCTCTATATACACGCATATTTCAGCGCCTCCGGCTCAGACCGACGTTACAGGCCTGCTTTCTTACACGTGTAGGTTTTGCCCTTTGGACTTTTGCCCTTTGGAGCTTTTCGCATTTCATCTCCCATGTGAACTTTCGCTTTCATTTTTTGTTGGACATCGCCCTGTAGATTTATCCCAGGAAACTTTCTCCACTGGAGTTGCCCCCCCGGATTTCCCAGTTGGAAGTCTCCCATTCGGTTTTTTGGGGGTTAAGTCTGCCATTGGAACTTGTCCTTTGGAGTTTTTCAGCGGAGTTCGCCATTTGGCATTTGTTTATTGGACCTTTCTTTTTGGAGTTCCCCAAGTAAAACTTTCCTTACTGGGCTTTTCCCTTTGGAACTAGCCCTTTGGCAATTTCCCATTGGAAGTTTGCCTTTGCAATGTCCCTTTGGATGTTTCCCTTTGGATTTTTCTTCAACAATTTTCCCTTTGGAATTGCCCCTTTGGCAATTTCCCATTGAAAGCTTGCTATTGCAAGGCTCGCGATGGAGTTTTGGGAATTGACCCTTTGAACATTTTCCCTGGAAAGACCAAGTAGTACTTTAAGACTTGTACGGATTTTAAGATTTTCAGCCACAACGTTTAGTGGATCTTAAGCTAGTAACATCTTAGACGATTGAGATGTTAAGACTTTAAGCCATGACTATTTTTCACGTTGAGCCACTGAGATGTTAAGATGTCTTACCCTCCTAACATTCTAAGCTTTGAAGCCATTAAGATTTGAAGATGTTACGCCGCAATTGCTTTCAGGTTTGATGCCACGAAAGATGTTAACATGTTGAGCCACACATATTCCAAGATTGCGAGCCATTCAGACGTTTCAGAGTTTAACCTAACCCATTTAGATTTTCAGGTTTTCAGCCATTGATTTTTCAAGATTTTCAGCCATCAAGATGTCAACAAGTCAAGCCACTAAGATTTTAAGGTGTTCAGTTATTCCGATATCTAAGTTTTAAGCCAATAAGCCTTTAAGCCATGAGAATGCTAACGCGGTAAGCCACAAAGAATTGAAGATTGTAGGCCATTGTTGAGGCTTTCACGCCATCAATACTTTAAGATTTTCAGCCACGAAGGTTTTAACATGTTAAGCCACCAATATTTAAGCATTGCGGCTTTATGCCTTTAAGCCATTGAGATGCTAATAGCTTACGCCATTAAGGTGTTTAGAATTTAAGCAGTTAAAGTTTTATCGTGTTAATCCACTGAGATTTTAAGCCATTAAGGCTTTCAGCATCTAAGCATCGTGGTGGCTGAACATCTTGGATGCTACAAGACACGAATGGGCACCATTCATTTGACCCGCGTGCTCTTGTGATGCTAGAGCTGCTAGCGCAACATCTGGAGCGCGTGTGCAGAATGTTATGCAGATAATGCTGGTGATGCTGGCGATGTTGTGCTGGAGCTGCTAAGGATGCAAAAAGCGGACCCGGGGGGAATCGAACACCCAAGGCATGCCTGTTGCGCCTGTTGCCGGCAGGAAAAAGGTATCAATACAGACACGCAGCCACTACATATGTATACACACACCAGCCCAGGCGCCGACGTCCAACAGCCGACTGGATTTTTCAGCCCAGCCACGGCAGACATCCAAGGCGCGTTTCAAGCGACAACTGATGTGGGCCGAAGTTGGCGCAGCTGAGCTAGTATTAACTTGCCCGACTAAGCCAGTGCGTCTCATTGAGCCCTTGACAGCTCCAAGCAGGCTTCGGCGTACTCCACCCCGACGCCGGAGGGAGTGGTTTTCGCACGCTGTCGCTCCGCGTGACGGCGAACGCAGGCGCCTCAAGGTGTATATTTGTATACATACATATGTATATATTGCATCTCAGACTGATTGAATCATAATCCTGAACATCAGTCATCCCTTTTTCTTTGTACCTTGTGGCAGGCCAGGTTAAGGTAGGCATGCGTGTGATCCCATTGTCGTGGGCAGGAAGGCCAGGTATGGCCGGGACCTGCTGCGGCAGATGCTTTGCGGAAAGGCCCCGGCTTCGATTCGATTTCGATCGAGTGCAGAAAAAAACAAGCGATCCCATAGGTTTCCCATGGGTTTCCCACGGGTTTCCCATGGGTTTCCCATGGGCTTCCCATGGGTTCCCATGTTCCCATGGGTTTGCCAAAGGTTTCCCGCGGTTCTTACGGGTTTGCCAGGTTTTGAATCTCTGTGCTGTACACATTAAGGTGGCCCATGAGATTCCATGAGGGGAGGGGTCAGCCTTATTGGAAAATGAAGTACGAGTAGCGCAGGTGTGGTGTTGGCATGGGCAGCTTGTCAGTGAATAATTTCTGCGAGGATCTGATGTCATACTCCTGGGTCCATGGACATCGCAACATAGCCCTATGCATTGTGGTGAAAGGGAAATCGGGAATCCACACCCCTCCAAATATTCTAGATATATATATATATATATATATAGACCCTGCTTGTGAGAAAAATACTCTTACCGACCTTTGTTTTTTCTGCCTTGCAGCTTTGCAACACACACCCAGGTGTGAGAACTTTGAGCCATCGGCGTTTTGTTGGTTTTTTGGGCATCAAATCAAGGGTTCCAACCAACCCCGAAGTCAACCTTGGTTGCGAAAACATGAACCCTTGTTCTGAACAACCAGATCAACACCGACTCGCAAGAGAAGGTTCTGACCCTGGTTCCTTGCATAACAGTCACAAAGTGTTGCTGCCAAGGCGGCCTTTGCGAGTGGGCTCTCAGCTGTATGATAAGAACTCCTTCCGTCAGAAGGTTCTAAGAACTTCTCCTTGGGACTGCCTTTGGTTTGCTCCCGTGGCTGTTTGCCTAAATTTCCTTTGCTCATGGTTGGTGGCTGGGGATACAATCCCAAGGACCCTGTTGTTCGCAGATGGGTTTTTCTTCTCAAACACCAGCAGTGAACATCTAGAGAAAGTTCGCCAAATGCCCACATGCTCCATGGCTGGTTTCGGAGAGTTCACTGGAAAGAAGGCGGGTTCCCCTACGAAGAGAGGGTGGTTCCTGTCTGGCAAACCACACCATGGTAAGGGAAGCCGTGCGCAAGGCTTCGAAGCCCATCTAAGCCATCCTACCGCAGGGGATGGACGTCCCCTGTTCTCACCAGGTTGGGACAGGGGACTGTCAGGTAGACCTCTTATGTTTTGGTCGGCGCTGTGAGGGGTCCAATGCCGCTGGAAACAGCGCTTACAGTGTAGGATGGTTTGTGGGGTGACAAGTCTGGTTTAGAAGCTGGAATCATTAGAAAGTGTCGTCCCTTTTCCTCCCACTCGGCATCTCTGCATTCTTGTTTCTTATTTGCAGTGTTGGGGCTCGTTTGCTTTTGGGCCAGCTTTTCCTTGTCCAAAGGCGGGGTGTTTCCAAAATAGCACCCCTTTGGAAGTTGGGCATCCTGGCAGTGCTTGTTCCAGCCTCTAAAAGAAGTATCCACTGGTGGGCGTGTCTTAGCCCATTTTGGCCTCAGGCGACCACTGCTGTGGATCCCAAGGAGACCAAGGCGGAGGCGGAGAAGGTATCCACTATTTAGCCCCTTGACGTGTAAGGGGCAATGGCTTGTTTCAAAGATGGCAATGCCCCGTGGGTTTTTGGGATGCGGCTTCTACATGTTGAGCTTCGGGGGGGGGGGGTTGTGGCGAAACGAAAAGACCTGGTCTCACAGATATGATTTGGTCGGTTCAAAGAAGACATTGAAAGGGAAGTATCGCGCCGGCGCTTTGCCAGACTTACACTTGGAGCGTAAATCACTGCAACCGGAACAGTGTCGTCAAAGCTCAGATTCAGCTTCTTTTGCCTGATATGTTTTTGTTGTCCGCTTTGGTTTTAAGGACACATTTTTTTGGCGGCATCCTTTACAGCTGACCCCAGAACTCACCACCGGATTGATGGTGTTGGTCCGAAAAGTGATTGAAGGCTCAAGAAAGCAGGCGCCTGTAAACTCCAGGACTGCCGACAATTGGCACTGGGTCAAAACCAATGGTACTATTTTGGGGTAGGTGCACCACCCATTCTAGTCTATTTTAGGGGGGGATTGGGATGGTCCTTGTGCATGTTAGACCAAAGTTTCTTCTTTGCAGCACCCCTGACCTTGCCAAGGTCGCCTGGCGCAAAGCACGCCGGCCAGATGTTCATTCCATGGGTCACGGGTCTGGTGCTGAAGCGCCCGGAGGGTTTCTTTCCTGCTTAAGCAGGGCTCCTCAACAGATACCTTTTGTCCATTTGAAACATGGCTTTTTCCACCAAAATACAGGGAACCCACCATCTACAAGGCAATGTTCAGGTGTATAATGTAAGTTAAGAGAATCTTCGAGTTTGAATCAGCAAGCCGCTTCCCTTGAATGATCAGCTCCCGAGCACGGCTGGGATATCTCTTGGCTTGTCCCCTCAGCCTTGGGCAACCTTGCGTTGTTCCATTTTTGTTTCTTCTTTGTGTGGGTTTGTCTCGCCTCTGGCTCTACTTGTTAGCAGGGTTTATTGAGGCAGCAACAGGTGCTAACCGGGGAGTCGTCTTAGGCCGAACTCTACTGCCAAACGCTAACGCTACTCAGAGACAGCTGGCGCCAACGAATGATTGCGAGGACTTCTTTGTGACTTTGTGACCATGCCATCTGAACCTATATTCATGTTGGGTACCTTTGGTAGCTTAGCCAAATGAGTTGGATGCATCTTCCTTAAGCAAGTGAAGGGCCCCTAGGGTTCCATCTCCTTTTTGTGGGCTTATACCTTCTGCCTTTCAAGGCACGTATCCAAAGTCACAATCCACATACGCTTTAGCGATGTGCAAGCGGTGCCGGCGGTGTGGCCCTCTTCACTTCTTGGCCATTAAAGGAGCCCCACAAAGGGGCCAAAGGCAGATTTCTGAAATCACATGCCTA